TGATATCTTTATAATTCGTACACGAAGTGATGACTGTCTGTTAGCAGATTAGAGATGCCTAATTTTGGAATATGAGCAAAGGCACAAGTATTCCATTAGGTAGTTTTGTAACTACATAGTGTCAGTATGCTAGTGTAACAGGTCGTGAGTTAATTCCACGTTCAGAGGAATCAGCGAACGTTCTTAGCACCATTCTAAACCAAGTGTGACATGTGTGATTATTACGTTCCTGCATTAAGAAAATGACGTCACTTACAACCGGACTAGACCAACAGAGTTGCTTGAATGCCTTAGGGCTTAGGCCATCTTTTCCTGCTGATTGTGGAGTCTCAGAAAGAGTGAATGCCTAAGCCCTAAGGCATTCACTCTTTCTGAGACTCCACAATCAGCAGGAAAAGATGGCCTAAGCCCTAAGGGAATTCCGTTTCGTCGACTCGCAGATTTGCTGTTAAAACGTTTCGTTAAGTAGCTCGTGCTATTTATAAATATGCACACACAAAGATATGTATTTAAATCGGTGAGAAAACAACTCAACAGCAAAGAAATGATCATTTGTTGAGGACGTCAGTCCTTCTTATTTATTTTCTTTTTAGTGTCTATTATTTTTTCCTTCAAAGAGGAAGAATCCTTTTTATTTTTTCCTACATTTTATATTTGTATGTTTTACACGTTTTTACGGATGAGTTACTTATATCAAAATGTCGAAATTACAAACAAAATTTCTGTAAAATGGATCTAAACATTATATTTTTATACCAGAAGATTCTAATGAATTGTAGTTATATTTCAAAACTTTAGCGCACAAACCTATAAAGGCTAGTTAGTTTTTGACAAAAGAATGTTTTTTTAGAAGTCTCTAAGTTATTTTGAAATGTATTTTATTAAGAAAGAACCTTGTTTTTTTTTGCAAACATTTTTTGTGAAGAAAAGGGAATCTTTCAATACTGGTAATGGAGCATGTGAATGAATAAATGTGGTGTAAACGTTTAATCAAATTTTTAACCCTTAGTTTTTTGTATAGTTTAAAGAACTATCAGAACTTTATAACAATACGCAAAAAACGCTCTAAAAAAGACTGAATTTTCGGTTTTGTTTTCGTAGTACAGATAAAGTCTTTCCTATCAATTTTTCTGTACCTTTCATTCGGTTTAGCAATTCTTTGAGAGGGTGGAATAGTTGAGGAGGTTTTGTTATTTTCAGTATAATAATGTTTTACAGGTACTTTACTGATTTTCATAGAACCCGGCCCTGGTAGAAAGCTTCGTGTGATCAGATTGGTAGGACTCGTAGTAAACAGGTTACTCACGCCAATGCAAGGTTTTGTGTGATGATTTAGAAGTCTTTTTGAATTTATAGTATTTTTTCAGGAGGTCTATTTTCTAGTACTTTGTGATTGGTTATTTTCTGGTCATTCTGGTCTTTATTATTCTTGGACTCGCAGTTCAAAATCTCTCATCCAAAAGGTCTCGTCTAGGACGTCATTGTGAGCAACTAAATAAAAACTATTACCACCTACACGTATATTGCAGATAAACTGTCTTACGTCGATGGAACGAAAAACTACTGTATTTAGGTTTAATGTTCTTTCGGAAGCTGCATATCTACAGCAATAAAGTATACTTTAAGATAACTTATGGATCGTCACTTTCCGTGCACGTGGACACTTTTCCAGTTCCTATAAGTCAAGATTACCTGAAGCTAAACGCGCGAAACTTTGTGAATGTCCAGTTTTTTTATTTCTTTAATTTCGCACAAACCTAGTCGAGAGCTACCCGATGGAAGGCAGCTAGTTAATACCACTCACCGCCAACTCTTAGGATGCTCTATTACCAACGAATTGTGAATTGTGGGATTAACCGTTACTTTATAACGCCCCCCACGGCTGAAAGGGCGAACACGTTCGGTGACGGGACTAGAACCTGCAATCCGAAGATTGTGAGTAGAGTGCCCTAATCATTAGACCATGTAAGGTTTATGTTCTTCAAATGACGTCAGTAGGTTCAATATATAAATGCAAGGGACAATACGATCCATTAACCAAAATAGGTTAATACCATTATCAGTGTTGAAGATTAACTCTAGTTATGCAACGTAAAAAAAACTACGATTCCAGAAAGAAATGAAATTATAACACTTAAAACTTTTACTTAAAGGACAGGAAGTAAGGTGACAATTACTTAAAAAAGTAAGTTAGTTCAATCAATATTGCTGGTCAAAACATTAAAATCAATTATTTTCACATCTTCAAGCGCCCCAATGGCTCAGGTGAGTTATAGGGCTTATAACGCGAAATATTAGATTTCGATACCAGCACAGATAGCCCATTGAGCATCTTTGTGCTTAACATAAAAAAGCACAACTTCTTGAAAGACTCAAGCGGAAAATGGTATTAACAACTATTCTATTTTAGTTTGATTCTATCAAACTAACAACTATTTTATTTTAGTTTCATTTTATCAAAACTAAGAACTATTGTATTTTAGTTTGATTTTATGAAAACTAACAATTATTTTATTTTAGTTTCATTTTATCAAACTAATAACTATTCTATT